TTTATGCTGACGCACTGAAAATCAGAACATTATAGAAGTTCATTAAATTTATTGAAGTTGAAAAAAAGAGATGAAACAGTCCGTGTTTTACTTTTGTCTTTATGTTTATTGTCTAAATGTTCGAAAAAGTACAATATTTTTGCTTCTGTTTGTAATGACAACAGCTTGCAAGTAAACCTCAATAATTTTATCGAAATAATACTCGGTATCCATTTGGCATGTTATGTTGAATTGTTTGTTCCAAAACATCATTTATCCGTGGTAACGTTTGATTAAGTGGATGATCAAGTCGTATCGATTGGCGGCCATTCAAGATTCGGCAGCAATGAAGTAATTCACGTTCCAGCCTCGAACGATAAGTCAAAATTTGCCATTTCATCATATCAGTAGCATCACTATGCATCGACATCTGGTTAATGAAATATAAATGAGTAAATACTTGAAATTTTCGTCTTTTATTTCAAGTTAATCTTACCAGATGATTGAATTCGCTGATTTGCGGAAGATTTAGATTGACAATTCCACGTATGGCATGTGCGCTTCTTCTTTCGAGGATAAATGTTAACGGGCCGTTTCCCAAATTAACATTAACACCGAAATTTGTCAGATAATCTAGACTCATTCGCTTCCAACCTCGATAATAAGAGATCAACCGATACAAATCAACAGAACCGATATTGATTAAACGACGTTGCACATAGAAATTCAGCATCTAAAGTTGAAAATGGATTTGAATGTGAAACGATTTGTTAAAATACCAACAAATAGATAAAAATATACCTCAGTAATGCATTCGATCATGTTTTCATCAGCCAAAAGAAATTCTGCTCCAATATCCATTTCTTTTGAGTCAGTTTTCAGATCGGTCAGTTCGGATAGTTCACCATCAAGTTCACATTTAATCGTTTCAACTTTTGGGGTTAAACTTAAACCCTCCATCTCTTTTTTTATTAAATCCATTTGTTGTAATTTAATTGTTACAGTTATTTTCAATGTGAAAAAATGAAAGCATGCAAATATCAACAATCTTCATACAAATTGACTGTGGTGTTTTTATATGTGACAGATGTGATGTGAAGCGATGCTAACGCCTGCTATTACAAAAAGAAACAACAACTGTAATAACATATATAAAAAGAAATAAATAGCTGTAATTGGTAGTTGAGCTCGAATTTTAAAATGGGCCTCAAATTTAATCTAATGTCTTTTTT